TGGCAACAGAGTGAGACTCCGTCTCAAAAAAAAAAAAAAAAAAAAATTCCAGAGAGAAACAACATATGAGTTTTAAGTCATGTACTATTCTAAGTAGTGTGATAAAATCTCACACTGGCCTACTCTGTCCCTTCTTCACCATAAGAGGAAAGGTGAGTACAGTAAAGTAAGATACCCTGAGAGAGAGAGAAAGAGAGAGAGAGAGAGAGAGAGAACATATTCACATAAACTTTTATTGCAGGATAATTATTCTATTTTACTATTAGTTATTGTTAATCTCTTACAGGACATAATCTATAGCTAAACTTTATTATAGGTATGTATATATAGGAAAAAACAATAGTATATATAAGATTCAGTACTCTGCAGTTTCAGGCATCTACTGGGAGCCTTAGAATTTATCTTCTGAGGATAAAGGGGTACTCCTGTATAAAATGTATGGCATTTTATCTGCCATGTGGCCAGATGAAGGTAATTTTCTTAAACAGCTGCAGTTAGAATTTAAAGAACCTAATTTATAGAACGTAGCTGGTCAAGGATTGAAATTTCAGGTCCCACAGTTGTTTTTCTGAAACAGCTTTTGCCAAGTATAGCCCTTGAGAGGTGGAGAAGAATGATTCCGTACAGTGTTTTCATGCTGTTGTGACCTGGAGACTCTCTCTCCTTTCAGGCTTCTATTTCGGTAATGTTATGTTTTCCGTCCCCGTTAGTTCAGCTGCAGTAATGTCCTCAGTCAGGATATGTACATAGTGTCTTGAGGAAGAGCAATAAGTCGTTTTGGTGAGGTGGGCTTGTCAGCAAATCAAATTGATAACATTTTTACATGGCCTTTTATGCACTTGATTTTCAGCCTGAGTTGCTTAATAAATATGGATGTTCTGTCCAGGGGATTTTCATTCTCATTATGGGACTGATGTTGCATTGCTGTTTTAATCGGTTTATAACTTCTCCAGTTATCTCTGGGAGTGCTATCAGGGTGGAACGTCTTTAAGCTCCATTATGAAAAGCTGTCATGTTAGCTACTTGGCCTTCAGAATGGCCAAGTCTTTGTCAGAGTTGCTTTGCTTTTGGGGGTCTATAATGTGTAACCTGATTGAAAAATGGACCCTGGCTCTTTTATGCGCAGGGGAATTGGATAGAGGATTTCTACCTTATAAATTCCCATTTACAGCATTAGCGCTTACAGGAAACTTCACTGCCATTTGAACCTGGCCATGAATGCCACATATTAAGATGCCAGTATCATTTTGGAATGTTGTTATCTTCATCTCACAGACAAGTGATGGAATTAGATATGAAAAGTGAACATTAGGAGAACCTCCCATCCTCAAGTATGAATGTTCTGCTTATGTTGTAAATACTAACCAAGGAGTGCCTTCTTTCATGACTGGTGTAGTTTTAAGAGCTATTTTTGATGTGGACACGATAAGCAAATCAGGTAAGGTATTGCTTTGTCTTCTTTGCATTCTTTAGGCAAGGATTTGCTTTGTCTTCTTTGCATTTTTTTGGAAAAGCTGTTAGTTCAGGAGAATCCTGTTATGTCCTTTCTTCTCCAAGATGAAACCACAAAACAGGGTAAAAATTGTTAAAATTATATATTATTTGAAAACATCTGTTTTTTTCCCCCGTGATTATTTCAGGAGACAAATTAAAGACTGTCAAGTGCATGGAAAAATACAGATGATGCTTCTGTTGTGAGATGTTGTTGACACATTTGACCTCATTTGCAGGGCCAAAGGAACAGTAGACACTGTCAGATAGTATCTCAAAACCTTTGGTTTTCTCAACAGCATCTTATCCTTAAACATTGTTTCTAGCATTCCTGTGGTATCAACCGTGAATGTTTTTTCTTCTTTTATTTTTTTCCTATAGGGATATTTGAGCAGCCAATGTTTAGTAGATTAATATAGATAGTTGTATTAGTCGGGGTTCTACAGAGAAACAGAACCAATAAGATATGTAGAGAAAGCAAGAGATTGAGATTCGTTGGTTGATTTTTAAGTAATTAGCTCTCATGCCTGTGGATGTTGGCAAGTCTGAAATCTGTAGAGCTGGGAGCAGGCTGGAAACTTAGGTTAGACTTGATGTTGTAGTTTGTATAGGGATTCCAAAGGGCAGCAGGCTGGAATTCAGGCAGTGTTTCTGTGTTGCAGTGTTGAGAGTTTATCTTTGAAGGGAAACCTCAGTCTTTTCTCTTAAGGCCCTAACCTGGCTGGGTGAGGCCCACTCACATTGTGGAGCATAATCTGCTTTACCCAAAGCCTGCTGATTTAAATGTTAATCATATTTTTAAAAATTTTCACAGAACATATAGACTGGTGTTTGACCAAATCACTGAGCATCATAGCTAGGCCTCACTGACATCAAAAATTAACCATTGCAATCACATTATGATTATGGTGAACATTATAAACATTTGAGAAGAAAACAGAGATACCATCTCCTGGGGTAATAAACAAAGCTCACTTATAGGGAAGGTGCTACTAAAATAGAGAACAGATGTGTTTCGGAACTGTGTGGTCCTAATTTTGTTTTTTGAGACAGAGTTTTGCTCTTGTTGCCCAGGATGGAGTGCAGTGGCATGAGCTTGACTCACTGCAACCTCTGTCTCCTGGGTTCAAGCAATTCTCCTGCATCAGCCTCCCAAGTAGCTGGGATTGCAGATACCCACCACCACGCCCAGCTAATTTTTTGTATTTTTAGTAGAGATAGGGTTTCACCATGTTGGCCAGGCTGGTCTCGAACTCTACAGGCAGACTTTCTTTTTTTTTGAGACAGAGTATTGTTCTGTCACCAGGTGCCAGCCTGGAGTGCAGTGGCGCAATCTCGGTTCACTGCAATCTCTGCCTCCTGGGTTCAAGCAATTCTCCTGCCTCAGCCTCCCAAGTAGCTGGGACTGCAGGTGCACGCCACCACACCCAGCTAATTTTTGCATTTTTTAAAGTAGAGACAGGGTTTCACCATGTTGGCCAGGATGGTCTCGATCTCTTGACCTCGTGATCTGCCCGCCTTGGCTTTCCAAAGTGCTGGAATTACAGGCATGAGCCACCATGCCCGGCTTACAGGCAGACTTTCAATCAGCATTGTATTATCCAAATTCAGCCTGCAGAAATGTTTATGTTTGACCCATATTGTGGTTTTAAAAATGGATTAATTGCCAGTATTTAAAAATTGGGAAAATTCACAGCAATAAAATCTAGACATTTTACTTTCCTCAGAAGATCTGGCAACCGAGTTTCTCATTCCAACTTAGTAATGACTGGCAGCAAGTAGCAGTTATCTCATTCAGGCACACATTTCCCAGTGAGCTGCTGCACTTACTTGTTAACTGCTAGTTTCTTGGTGGTATTTGAGATGATGACCTCCTGCTGTAAGGAAGAGTGAGATCCTGTGGGCTGGTGAGTTTCTGTGAGGGATTCTAGTTTTGCTTTGATTAGGATTTAGATAAGCAAAATGAGAAGGGGATATGTCAGTTGACTTTGAAAGAAAGAAGCAAAGAGGTATGGAGGTGGGAATGTATGTGAGAAAATTTGCCTAACCAGAAGCACAAGCCTGTGAGATTGAGTGTAGGAGAAAGTAGGGCTGACCTGTCAGACAGGAGCTAGCATGGTAATTAAGGCAACACTGTCCTTTTAACAGTTAAACTTCAAATTTTCTTAAATTTGAAGAAACAACTGAGGTTTATTTCTTATGTGAAGTCCAAAATAGGTGTTCCTAGTGGATGAATCTCTCAAGCAGTTTAGGCTTTTTTCATCTTGTGACTGTGCCGTCTTCACCAATTCTAAAGTCACAGCAGAAGAGGAAAGAGGATGAATGACTATGTAAGGCAGCAGGTTTCCGTCAACCAGACCTGAAGTGGTGCACATATTTTCTGTTTACATTTCACTGGCCACATCCCCCTGCAAGGGAAGGCTGGGAACTAGAGTCTAGCTGTGTTCCCTTGATAAAGGAAGAAACATGTTTAGTGAATGACTAGCCAGTCACTAGCACAAGAGACAGAGGCATTGGAGTTAAGCAAGCAAGCGCTACTGTATGATGTAAGATATTTATTAATACATTAGCATATATTTACAGACTACTTACTTCTATGTGTTGGATGCTGTGCTATGCACTAAGTAGGCTTTTGAGCAAAGGAGCAATGCAGTGAAATTAGTGTTTTGAGAAATTAGCCTGGGGGTGGAATATAAAACTGAGAGAAAGCAAATTCTAAGGCAGAGGGAGATAGTGAAAAACCTGTTATCTTTCTCAGCTGAGAGCCAGTGAGATTGTGTGGGTAGAGAGCAATATTAATAGTATTAATAACACTCGTAGTTACTATGTGCCATGCAGTGTTACAAGCTACTTTACATGTACTTAATTGTCACTCAGATTTGTGATGTAAGTGTATTACTCTCCTTTTCTAGATGTGGAAAGCAAGTCTTCAAATGATTGATTAAGCCAATTTGCCGAAATTCACATAAATCTTGGTAGGGCTTGAGGATTTGAACTTAGGAAGTTGATGTTATTTTATAACTACTGTAGTATTCATGAAATGGAAATCAATCTAATGAAAACATTGTGAGAAGTGAACAATAATGAAAACTATATTAATGATTTGAGAAGGACACCGTGACGTTCTAAATGAACTTCATAACTTGAAGAAGAAGTGAAATTGCAGAAATGACCTTTTAAGAAATCTCCTTGTCCTTGGGCACACTTGGTTGGATTTAAATAACTTCTAATGAGTTTTTGGTGAATTCTGAGCTGTTTAAGAATATGACATCTTTTTAACCACACTCAAAACCAAATCATTGTATCTTGAGGAAATGCAATTCTTTAATTCTTTGTTCTGATAAATATGCCAGAACACCCATTTCTGTGTCTGTGTCATGTCTTTTTCAGCATTGAAATGAGTATCATTTCAGATAATGGACTTAAAATAATATGTGTCTGGTATTTCCAGAAATATTAATAAACACAAGAGACTTTGGGTTGTTGATACTAAGTTCTGTTTTTGGCAGTTGACTGTTGGGATGGCCCGGATGGAGAGCCAGTAGTACACCATGGTTACACTCTCACTTCAAAAATTCTCTTCAGAGATGTTGTGGAGACCATCAACAAGCACGCCTTTGTGAAGAATGAGTAAGTATAGCAGCAGCTCTGAGCTAAGCGGTAGCCTCCCATGTGGAGCATTGCCTGATGTAACATAGCTACAAAACCATATCCACTTCCTTGGACTCTACATGGCCCTCTCTGCTAGCCTAGTTTTCTCCTTCCTTCTCAGTAAAACATTGTGAACAAATAATATGGGGTCCACGTGTGTACTTTCTCATGCTGCATTGATTCCTTACCCCATTCTTTCTCAACATGCCTCCTTAAAGATGTTCTTGCAAACAGTGACCTCTAAATTTCGAAATCCAGGGTGTAGAGTGTCCATACAATCTAGAAACATGGGTTACTATGTACATAATTAATGGTTTTTTATCATGATGGATGTCTTATCTATACACTGAGGTGTCTGGAGTCTTTATGTCACTTAACCCTCTCCTTGTCATTTGATAATATTGAATATTTCCATCCCAATACTTGCCTTTTTTGGCTTTATTATATCATTCTCTGATTCATTGCTTTCATTGCTTCTCAATTTCTTTTTTTTTTTTTTTTTGTCCTGTGGTCTCTCTCAATCTATTTCCTCACTTCTTTAATGGTTACTATTTTCTAAGATGTTGTCCTACATCTTCTTTCTAGATATTTATCAAATTCTCTCTGTCCAGAACTTTTCCCCCAAGTTCTAGACCCATGTAGAAAAATCCTCAGTGAGGCCGGGCATGGTGGCTCCTCCAGCAGTTTGGGAGGCTGTGGCAGGTGAATCATGTGAGGCCAGGAGTTTGAGACCAGCCTGGCCAACATGGCAAAACTCTGTCTCTACCAAAAAAATACAAATATTAACTGGATGTGGTTACACATCTGTAATCCCAGGTACATGGGAGGCCAAGGCATGAGATTTTCTTGAACCCAGGAGGCAGAGGTTGCAGTGAGCTGAGATTGCACCGCTGCACTCCAGCCTGGGTGGCAGACTGAGACTCCATCTCAAACAAAGAAAAATCCTCCATGAATATTCGTCTGAGTATCCCATATGTGTTGGGAGCCACAACAGTGAATAGAAGATAAGACTCCTGCCATTATGGGGGTTACTCCCCAAGGGGAACTCAGCATCTCATTCTGCCAAACCTCTTCTTGCTTCTCGCTCCATTTTCTCTTATTAATAGTTAGGGGCACACTGGCTTCAGCCAAAAACTGTGAGTCATTCTAGACTCAGCCAATTCTTGGCAATTCTACTTTCCAAGTTACCTTTTGACTCCATTCCTCCTGTTCATTTTCATTTCCCCTTTGGTTCATCCTTCACACTGGTGCTATAGTTTTCTTTCTGAAATTGAGCATGGTGATTCAATTCTTGTCTTAAAGCTCATCAGAAGCTCTCTCGGTACATAGGCATGTCTTCATGTCCCTTAAGGTCTGGCATCTCCCTTGTCTTCACCTGTCTTCTTCCACCATTATTCCACAGAGATTTAGGCTTCTTCCTTCAATGACTGTCTTTCAACTTCCGCATTGAGCCCAGCTCTTTCCCCACTTCCCACTCTCACATATGTTGTTCTCTTTGCCTGGAACACCCTTCCCCATTAGTCTATCTGATTAATTCATGCTTACCCTGCAAGGCCATTTAAGTATTGTCCCTCTGACAACTTACTAATACCAAAAGCTACTTAAATCTACTTTTACTCCATATTTTCTCTATATTTAGCACCTTGCACATGTATCTATCATGTCATATAGCACCCTTTTGCAATTGGTTACTTGACTTCTTTTACATCTGTAAGACTGTGAACTCATTGAGAATATGGGCAATGTCTTATTATTTTGTATTCATTTTTGTTGCCTAGCAGGTACCTTCAGTATACCAGCTATTCAAGAAAGGATTTTTGAATTAAAAGAAACAAATTAAAATTACAATTGTGTAAAATTAATTTCTTAGAAGTTAGTGGCCTTTAAATTTCCAATACTTGGTCTTGTCATTAATTAAACATGAGGTTAAAATGCTTTTCTAATAAGACACACTTGCTGTATAGCAGATTTAGTTGATGATGTCTCCCATGTGGAAGAATCTTGAATACTGCATTCTATAGGGTCTTCAAAACCTTGATTTCTGCTAGTCCTAGCCAAGCTGGTGAAGTAATTTTGCCTTTATCTCCCAATGTATGAAGTAGGCTGTTGAGAAGGCCTGCCACCTATGTATCTTGGAGGATCCTCTGGTGATTCAACAAGTTTACTTCAAGTTTGGGAACCCTTAGAAGAAAAGCACTTCCAGTGAAAACAGTTAATAAGCTTGTTTAGTACATTTTAAAAGTTTAGCCTTTTTCTCTCCTTTCTTAACTTTGGTTGCATCTTTATATCAGGGTTTCTCAACCTTGGCACTATTGACATTGTACACTGGATAATTTTTGGTGGGCAGGAGGGTAGAGAGCTGTTTGTGCATTGTAGGGTGGAAAGCAGCATCCTCAGCTTCTACTCACTAAGTGCCAGTAGCACTTCTAAAGTGAGACCACCAAAAATGTCTTTAGATATTGACAAGTGTCTCCTGTAGTAGGGGTAATAATCACCTCATTCCCTGTTGAGACGCACAGCTTTACGCTAAACATCATCAAACACTAATTAGGGTTTTTTTTTTCTTTTGAGACAGTCTTGCTCTGTCACCTACGCTGGAGTGTAGTGGCACAAGCTCAACTCACCGCAATCTCTGCCTTCCAGTTTCAAGTGATTCTTGTGCCTCCGCCTCCTGAGTAGCTGGGATTACAGGCGTGTGCCACCATGCATAACTTGTTGTATTTTTAGTAGAGAAAGGGTTTTACTATGTTGCCCAGGCTGGTCTCAAACTCCTGGCCTCAAGTGATCTGCCTGCCTTGGCCTCCTAAAGTGCTTGGATTACAGGCATGAGCCACCGCTTCCTGCCACTAATAGGCTTTTTGTAAATGAATTGACAATGTGAAAATTCCTTGTTAAAACCCCCTGATGTCACTGCAGGACAACTCAGCATTGTCAGTTTGTTGTTACTGTTGCTTTTCTCTCTTTTAGCACTCTAGGACAAAACCTATGCAAAGAAATTAATAGCAAACAGGTTGTAGTTGAGTAAGGAAACCAACCTCAGCCACAAAAGCTCATCTGTAATATGACCCGCAGCATCAGGTTTTACTAATGAGGAGAGAATGTAGGTCCAGAGGTCATAGCTGGTACTGTAAAATTTGTGCTTGTCATGAAAGCCTGGAAGAAGTTTTTCTGCACATTAATATATTAGGTGATTTAAATATTGGTATATGCTGAAAAAAATATATTGTCTATTATGTTTGAAGATGTGTAACAGAAAATTAGAAATTAATAAACCTGAATTTGAAATAGTTTCTTATTCTGTGGAAAAAATAAGGTTGAGAGCGGAGTAAAATTGTGTAATCAACCCTGATCTCCTTTCTACCTTAGCCACCAGTTCCTTTAGGTAATTGCTTATATGGGTCTCACATTTTCTGTGCAGAAACCTGAGTGCTGGTATAGAATGAATGCTTGGCTAGTTTTTATTTTTTGACAAAGACTATTATATAATTCTATAAATGTAATTTTGGAATGTGTGATGTAGAATGCTATAAAACACAGAATTCTATTATGTTATTTTACTTTCAATTGTAATTTTCAAGGTGGGGTTAATTATGTATTTTAGAGTCAATAACTGCATTTAATAGTCTTCAGTGGTCTCTTAGATGTTGTTAGACTTTTGAATAAATAGGGCAAAATTACATTATATGAGTTTGCTTTTTTTAGACTTCTCATATCTTTTAAAATTTTCTCTTCTTTTATAAGAAACATAATTTATCTACTGTTTTTTCCTGATGCAAAATGTTAGAAAAGTCATCCCATGTGGACTGGTATTTTGTTCAGCCATTATACTTAGCAAAGTATATTTGCTCAGAGGAATTTTTAAAATGCATTTCTAATCTTTGTCATTTTAGAAGCATTTTAATCATCAGCAGTATCACAAATACTGTCACTAGGATTGTGAGAACACAATGAATACTGAGTCATTTCCAAAAATCCCTGTGAATTGCCTGCATCTGATGCCTCTGGAATGTGTTGCTCTTTTCTCAGGTTTCCGGTTATATTGTCAATCGAGAATCACTGCAGTATCCAGCAGCAAAGGAAGATTGCTCAGTACCTGAAAGGAATATTCCGAGATAAACTGGACCTGTCATCTGTTGATACAGGGGAGTGCAAGCAGCTTCCAAGCCCTCAAAGTTTGAAAGGCAAAATCCTAGTGAAGGTAATTATCTCAAGTAATGCAATAAAAAACATTCATTATCAGCTAAGCCTGCCCTCCCTTAAAGAATAAAAACTGGTTTCAAAGAGAATAATAATTAGAATCAACACATGAAGGATTGTCTTGATCTATGTATGTACCTTATTTCAATTTATTTATAGTTGTTTCTTCAGAAGAAGCTTATTGTTAACTGAGCACATATTTCGAGATTGTTCTTATGAAGTGAAAACATCAATACTGTAAGCCAAATGTATGATATTTTAGTCTGTAATAGTTCACATTAGAGAGAAATGCATGTGTAGGAGTGTGAGGTTCAGGAAAGGTGAGGCTCCTTGTATCCCTATCTGAAAGCATTTCTTTCAGACTTTTTCTCCCATTTCAAGCTCCAATAACTGTTTGTCAAAAAAAAAAAAAAATCTTCATGGTTGATCAGTCTTAGTTATGCAAGTGAGAAGAGCTCACTTCAAACACGAACATAGGCACAGACATAATGCCCCACAGGACTCATGTACATGTGAAAGAGCAGTAGGTGAACAGAATGACATTTCATAAACAGATTTTCTGAAGGAGGAAACTTAACTACACGAAATGTTATTAATGCAAAGAATAGCCAGAAAGACAGTTCTTTGAGTTTTTAGATCACTGACTTTGTGGTTTTACTTATTTCCAGTGAATTTTGTGTGTTTGTATGAAAACCACCTTGGGGGGGCCACATTATTCTGTGATTAAAAATGTAAAGAAAAGCAATAGGGTATTAAAATTCAAACTGGATCATATTTTACTTAAAAGAGTTGTATATGAAAAAACAAATATCATGTAGGAGGAGTAGGAAAGTCAAAGAGACAAGGTAATTTCATGACAGAACTTCAACTGGGGTTTTAAGGGAGGGCAGCACATGGAAAAGATGGAAAATATTCATTCTTAGAATTGGTCAAAACCTGTTTTCTACCAATTAAATGAAATTATAGATTCTGAATACATCCAAAAGGTGTTGCTAGGCATTTGTATGCATAAAGGCATTTTGAATAAAAGCTCTGTATATGCGAGAAATAATGTGAAGGCCAATTTGCCCAAGTCTTGCTAAAGCAAACTTTTATGGTAAAAATTGATTTCTGGGTTAGAAGATGAAATGTCATCTTTATAGCCTTGTAAATGTTTCTACTTCCTAAATGTTCTTTAGTCAGCAGTCAGGAGGTTAAATGCAGAATAAATCCATTTGATTGAAATCTTTCTCTTTTGGACAGTGGAAATTACAATGGATATCTAATGTGAACTAACTGAGTCTCCTCTGCATAACTGGGCTTTGAGTTATTTGACACAGAATATCCCAGGGCTTATGGCATTGGGATGAATCAGAGGCAGAGAATCACTCATGGGAAGGGGTGGCAGCAATGTCAACTGCAAATATTTCAAGGTCATCTGAGATCCATTCACTAATAGTAATGTTGTTTAGACTTTAAGGAGCTTCCCTGTGTCTGTGGACCGGCAGCAACCCCATTTAAACCAAAAAACAAGGCAACTGATTTCCTGTGTTCCTTTAATATCAGAGCCATCTCTAATTAAAAAGGGAGCATTTCTCTGGCTACTTACCACTTTGGAGATTGACAAGTAGTTTATTATTACATCTGTTAAGCACATACTTTCCAATCATGCAGGCATATACATTTATATATATGTAACTTTTCAGATAAAATATAAGAAAACTTCATTTTATTGCATTTCACTTTATTGCATTTCACAGACACTGCATATTTTGTTTTTCTGTTGTTGACAAATTGAAGGTTTGTGGCAACTATGTGTCAAGCAAGTCTTTCGGCACCATTTTCCCAAAAGCTTGGGTTCACTTTGTGTCTCTGTGTCACATTTTGGTAATTTTTCATTATTATTGTATCTGTTATGGTGATCTGTGATCAGTGATCTTTGATGTTACTATAGTAATTGTTTTGTCGAGCCACAATCCCTGCCCATATAAGACAGCAAACTTAATTGATAAATGTTGTGTGTATACTGACTGCTTCATGGACCACCTGATTCCCCATCTCTCTCCCACTCCTCAGTCCTCCCTGTTTCCTGAGACATAACATTATTGCAATTAGGCCAATCGAGAACCCTACACTGGTCTCCAAGTGTTCAAGTAAAAGGAAACTCACACGTCTCTTACTTTTTAAAAAATTTTATGTATTTATGTATTTATTTATTATTTCAATAGGTTTTATGGGAGCAGGTAGTGTTTGGTTACATGGGTAAGTTTTTTAGTGGTGATTTCTGAGATTTTGGTGTACTCGTTAACTGAGCAGTGTACATTGTACCCAATGTGCAGTCTTTTATCCCTCACCCTCTCTCACTTTTCCACCCCGAGTCCCCAAAGTCCATTATATCATTCTTGTGCCTTTGTGTATTCAGAGTTTAGCTCCCACTTTTAAGTGAGAACATGTGATTTTTTGTTTTCCATTCCTGAGTTATTTCACTTAGAATAGGGATCTCTAACTCCATGTAGGTTGCTGCACATGCCATTATTTCATTCTTTTTTTAATGGCTGAGTAATATCCCATGGTGTATATATGTATACCACATTTTCTTTATCTACTAGTTGATTGATGTGCATTTGGGCTGGTTCCATATTTTTGCAATTGTGAAGTGTGCTGCTATGAGCATGTGTGTACAACTGTCTTTTTCATATATTGACTACTTTGCCTCTTGGGAGATCCCAAGAGTTATCTACTAAGAGGAAACTATTTACTCTTAGTTCTTTAAGGAATCTCCACACTGTTTTCCATAATGGTTGTACTAGTTTCCATTCCCTCCCACAGTGTAAAAGTATTCTGTTTTCACTACATCTATGCCAACATCTATTATTTTTTGATTTTGTGATTATGGCCATTCTTACAGGAATAAGATGGTATCTCATTGTGGTTTTGATTTGCATTTCACTGGTTATTAGTGATGTTGAGCATTATGTTTGTTGGCCATTTGTATATCTTTTTTTTGAGAATTGTCTATTCATGTCCTTAGCCCACTTTTTGATTGTATTATTTGTCTTTTTCTTGCTGATTTGAGTTCCTTGTAGATTCTAGATATTACTCCTTTGTCGGATACATAGCGTGCAAAAGATTCTCTCCTACTCTGTGAGTTGTCTGTTTACTCTACTGATTATTTCTTTTGCTGTACAGAAGCTATTTAGTTTAATTAAGTCCCATCTATTTATCTATGTTTTTGTTTCATTTGCTCTTGGGTTCTTGGTCGTGAAATCTTTGCCTAAGCCAATGTCTAGAAGGGTTTTTCTGATGTTAAGTTTTAGAATTTATATGGATTCAGGTCTTAAATTTAAGTCTTACAGGTTTTTCTTTATAGATTACCTAATGCTTTTGCCTCACAGCTCTTACGATTCTTTCCTTCATCTTGACTTTAGATAACCTGATGACTATGTGTCTAGATGATGATCTTTTTGTGATGAATTTCCTAGGTGTTCTTCGAGCTTCTTATATGTGGTTGTCTAGATCTCTAGCAAGGTTAGGGAAGTTTTCCTTGATTATTCCCTCAAATAGGTTTTCTAAACTGTGAAATTTATTTTCTTCCTTGGGAACACCAATTATTCTTAGGTTTGTTCACTTAACATAATCCCAAACAACTTCAAGGCTTTGTTCATTTTTTTTTTTTTAATTCTTTTTTCTTTGTCTTTGTCAGATTGGGTTAATTCAAAAGCCTTGTCTTCAAGCCTTGAAGTTCTTTCTTCTACTTGTTTGATTCTATTATCGAAAGTTTCCAGTGTATTTTGCATTTCTCTAAGAGTATCTTTTATTTTTAGAAATTGTGATTGTTTTGTATTGATGCCGTTTGTTTCTCTGGATACTTTTTTCATCCATAGTCTGTATTACTTTTGAATTTCTTTAAATTGGTTTTCACCTTTCTCTGGTGCATCCTTGAGTAGCTTAATTGTCAACCTTCTGAATTCTTTTTCCGGCAAGTCAGAGATTTCTTTGGTTTGGATCCATTCTTGGTGAGCCATTGTGATCTTTTGAGGAATTAAAGAATTTTGCTTCTTTATATTGCCAGAATTGTTTTTCTGGTTCCTTTTCATTTTGGATAGACTATGTCCGAGGGAAGATATGGATTCAAAGGCTGGTGTTCAGATTCTTTTGTCCCATGGGGGTGGTATTCTAATGTGGTGCTCTCTCCTTTCCCCTAGGCATGAAGCTTCCTGAGAGCCTGACTGCAGTGAATATAGTTGCTCTTCTGGGTCTAGCCACCTAGCGGGGCTACCAGGCTTCAGCCTGGTACTCAGGAATGTCTGCAAAGAGCCCTGTTATGTGATCTTTCTTCAGGTCTTTCAGCCATGGATACCAGCACCTTCTCTGGTGGAGGTAGCAGGGGAGCGAAGTAGACTCTGTAAGGATCCTCGGTTATAGTTTTGTTTAGCATGCTGGTTTTCTCAAATGCTGGTTGTGCTGGTGGTTGGTTGTCCGCCAGTCAGGAGGTGGCACTTTTAAGAGAGCATCAGCTGATACAAGCTTGTCCTAAGGTCGCCTGAATACATATGTGGGTTTCTCAGGCAATGGGCAGAGCCATAGAGCTCCCAAGGGATTATGTCTTTTGTCCTCAGCTACCACAAGGGGTAGAGAAAGACCATGAGTTGGGTGCAGGATTAGGTATGTTTAAGCTCAGACTCTCCTTGAGTGAGGCTTGCTGTGGCTGCTGTGGAGAATGGGAGTGTGGTACTCACTCAGTTCAATGGAGTTATGTTCCCCGGAGTATTATGGCTGCCTCTGCTGCATCATACAGGTTACCAGGGAAGTTGGGAAAGCTGGCAATAACAGGCCTCACCTAGTTCCCACTCAGCCAGCAGGGCCAGTCTCATTCCCACCACCAGCACTGAGTTTATATCCAGGCAGCTCATGAGCAGGGCTGAGATCTTGCCCCAGGATATAAGCCTCCCCACTGAGAGAGCAAGCAGGCCTTTTAGGCCCCACACCTCCACACCTGCCATGGCCTCTGTGTTCACATAT